AAAAAAAAAAAAAAAAAAAAAAAAAAAAAAAAAAAAACCGTGATGAGAAAGAATCGACGAGGATTAACGGAAAACCAAGAAGATATCTATTACCTTAGTGCACCTACCTTGAGTGTGGTATAAGCACATTGGTTTCCAGCTAGGGTTTTTGCTGTTTCTTCGAATTTCTGTATCGATGGGTTTGGATGAAGCAGATTCTTCCATGGAAACGGAAGAGCATCGAGCGTACGAACGCTTGAACGGGGAGTATTTAAACGGCGGCGGAGAAAGTGACGAGAGCTGGGGAAAGGGCGGCGGAGGATTGGGATGAAGAAGAAAAAGAGTACGGCGAACCAAAGGGAGCCTCGAGGTTGCCATGGCGGAAAATGAGAGAACAAAATAGAGAGAGGGTTTAAGGAAATTATTTTTCCATTTTGTTGGGGTTTAAGTATAATTAACAAATATTGTCATATAATTATAAATTTAATAAAATTTAGGCAAATGGTGCTATAAAATGTAATTTTTATTTTTTTTTTATTTGTATTATTGATTCATCTTATTGTTCTACGGTATTTCTTGTTTTTTTACAATACTAGTACAACGTTCTTGTATTACACGTGGGTGTGCTAACTTTTTTTCTTAAAATATAAAATTAATGAGAAAAATTGTTGAAAATCTAAATACCTTTTATAAAAATATATATATTATTATATAGTTAGTACGCCACTTTTTATTTGTGCGACTTACATGTGTTATACTGTAATAATTTTTTTAACTTACAACAAATAACTATATCAAACATAAATATACCAATTGAGAAATAATTTTATTTTTCTAATAAATTTTAATAAATATTATTATTTTTTATTATTATAAAGATAAATATAATTTATTTATTTCGTATATATAATATGGATGTCAAATCGAAGATCATCAAAAGATGATTAATTTGATATATTATATATGTAAAACCGATAAGAAATATAAAAGTTATCAATTTTTAAAGTACATTTATAATTCAATAGCTAATTGAAGGAAACAAATCAAAAGTATGGATACATTAATCACTTAGTGTCTCACTATGTAAAATACAAAGAATTAAAGGGTTATATTAGTACAATTAATATTAAAATACTAAGTTAGCTAAATAATATTTATAGAATGTCCAAACCTAAGTTATTATTTATTAATATATTAATATTATTTGTCCAAACCTAATTACGAAGCATGATTCTTCGCCAAGTAGGTTTACGAAGCACCAGAAGAAGCCACGTAAGCTCAGCGCATTCTGAAATTATATATAGGGAGGATATTGCTTTCGAAAAGATTAGTTATGCCACTTTTCATTTGATGAAAAATAGAAAGTTATATGCCATTTTGTGATGCGAAGTATAATTTTGCATAAATAATAAGATAATAAAAGCTAACTATAAGTGAATTGGATAGATGGTGGCCTAAATAATATGATAGAAGTTGACTATAAGTGCAATTAGATATGTGTTTCATTGTTGAAAATATTTTCTTGTTCATAAATAAAAGTAATAGAATAAACAATAAATTTTTTAATTTAAATTAGTATTAATACAATATCCGTGTACAACACGAGTGTTAAGTTAAAAAATATATGATAAAAATTATGTATATCTAATACCAAACTAATTTTAGACCAAAAATAATATAAAAATAACGTCACGAAACATAAATTTTCACTATGTCAGCATTCGAAACGTGAGAATGTGTCACTTTGGCTCAACACATTTTGAATTAATATATAAGGAGAAATTATAACGGACATTAATTAATTATATGTAATAGAAAAAAAAAAATTGGCAAATAATAAAAAAATATATGAGTCGTGATTGATT